CTATGATATGACGTCCATGTTGGAGGCCAGACTGAATTTCCTCCATTAATTCAACATACAACAACTTTTCAGACTGTAAAACAGTTTTGTCATACACCAAAAACTTATTCTTGCAGTCTGACTGAAAGTTAGGACCATTTCAAAGAAGGGTGTAAACAGAAATTTGTAATGTATGTAAAATTAATTAATGCAGCAGCACACGGTCAAAGAGTGCAAAAATACAATGCCATATACACAAAAGATAGTTTGAGTGCCTCTAGCATGGCAGACTCCCTAACCATACAGACCTAATGACTTCACATGAAAGACCTCTATACTGAAATTCTATACTTTAGAGCCTTCATTTGAGACTGAATTTTCATCAATAAGTGGAATCATCTCACCATTTATCCTCACATTGTTCATCTGATGCATGTAATAACTGGTTATGGGCATATTTTGGTAAAATGTGGACAGCAACAGCATCACTGCCATCAGGCACATGAACTGGATGTACTTCAACTTCATGTAAAGCTGCAACTAAATAAAATACCAAACTTATTGTGAAAAACTAAGAAACATGAGTAGAATAAAAAAACATTCAATTAATTTATACTAAATCTTGTGATTTAACTTTACCATTATCATGATAATCCTGTTTACATATCATTAAAATAAATTCTGTTTTAATGTGTTCAATGTGACTACTTCAAAATAATATGGAATACAATGACTTATTTCCTTTTTAAATTAAGGACAAACAAATAGATCTGTTTCTGGTCCCGCGTCAGTTCAAAAGACCGCTCTCGAATTTTTTTTGAATTTGAATTTGAAAAAAGAGTGAAATATGGCTGTCGATGGTTGCACAGTATCTTGTTCACGCATGTGCAGATTGAATTTCTTGATTTCTCTCTATGGTGTTAGCAGCTCGATCGTTGCATCTGTGTCTGTGTTAGCGTATGACAGGTCAGTTTCGTTTCTAAAACAACATTTAAAAAAAAAATGAAAAAATAAGAAAAACCGCATCACCGCATTTTTTTTGAGGAAACTTTGGACCAGAAACAGATCTATTTTTTTTAGCCTAATAATTTTCACCAGATTATGGTTTACAAGTATGGAGACCCCTCAAAGACATGCCTATAGAACACCATGTACAAGTTTGATTACATTTTAAATAAATATGTACAACCTAGATTTTTAAAATAAATTCAGACAACAAAAATTGCCCATCAGTCACAATATTATATTGTTATCACCCTGTGTCACCACGCAAAGATTTGTGATACAAAGACAAATCTTCGCCATAGGAACCAATGGTAAAAAGTTCTAAAACACTATCAGTGCTATTTTATACCTAGTTTTTCTTTTGAAACTGTATGGTTAACCCAAGTTTTCTTTACGGAAATATCTATACATTGATTCAGTGAACAAAATACTGAGATTTGGACAAATTCAAGGTTATATAAATGTTGAGTAGACTACTACCTTAAAATCAACATTATTAAATTTTGTGTATCTTGAAGCTGACAGTGCCATATGAACATATCCCACATTGTGTTTTACTATATGAAGATTAATCAGAACATTCAGAAAATTACCACTATATAGCTATGCCAGACCATTCAAATGCAAATTATGTACACAAAAGAGGGTTAACAGCCTGAGCTTAGTGACATGCATAATCAAATAATATGCAAATTATTTATGGATTGGCCAATCCGATCGCATTAAAATATCTCATTCCCCATGACGCTTTGCATTAATGAGCTCAACAGGTAAAGGCACCTGATGACCAAACGTGTGCACACCAAGAGAAAGTGTTTTTTTAGGCATTTTCTTTCAGAACACAAGTAAGTGTCTGCAAATGTACTACAACAGGAATTCAGTACAAATAATGATTTTACTGAAAATATGTGATAAAGTCTCCCTAGCCCAGTGTTTTAAATTTCAAGAACCCTCTTGGCAGGGAAAAAACAGTGGCATTTTCAATACATTTTGAATTGTGACTGATTGATCTATATCACCCTTATACATTTGTTTAAATTGTTATTATCAGAAATAGTAGGAATAACCACTGCTTTACTAATAATAAATAGGATCTTTACCCATTAACATTTTATTTATAAAGACATGTTTCCTACAAAAAATTGTATTATTTTTGCAGTAACATGACAGTTTTAAGGTAGTGCACCACTCAATGTTGTTGTCTTATCAACACAATCATCAATCAAAAATGTAATAAGTGTTAACTTATTGCGACACTTTTTTTGTGGTCCACAAACAATATTCAAGAAAACTATATTTTATTAGAATAGCCAATTTTATGCTGAAATAAGTACATTTTCCACATACTGGTAAGAAATTATTCCATGAAATATTTGTGAGCCAAACAAATATGTTTCTAGTGTTTTTTACTTAAATTTGTGTAGTTCTGTTCCTCAGAATTATATTTCATATTTCCATATCATGACCATTTAAGGCGGTGATACATTTAGTTGGTGATACATGTATTCTTAATAAATCCAAAACCTGAAAGATAAAAAAGTAACCATATATTAGTGTATGTAGGCAGTTCTGATTTGGAATAAAAACACAATAAATTACTTAATATGCCTGATTTTTTCAATATTAATCTGTTTCACAGTACATTGTAACACAACATGCTAAACCTTATTTCCTTTAGGGAAATTATTTTTTATACTTATATTGTGAAATTGCAGTGTTACTTATTCAATAAATATAACATCTTATATACTTGTAAATATTAGTTAACCACACAACATAAAATTGAATCACACACTAAGCCAACCCAGAGCCCCAATTATTTCAGACCCT